TCCCTGCATCTTTCTGTGTGGTACAATTCTTGTGTTTATTACTTGAGCCATTAAATTTCCATTTAAAGCTGAACGGCCGGGCAGAGATACCGATGTGTTTCTCTGCTGGGATTAGTCTTTGTCACTTCACTGGGTCTTGTAAGCTGTTAAGTCTCTGATGCTGTTTGCCACCAGAACTTTCCAGAACAGCTCATTCTGAAGAAAACGACGAGCGCTGCCTTGTATTAGAGCTCCTGTATGGAGTATTTATCTGGTTATAAAACAGACTGAAATTAACAAGAATGTCTCTGTATGACATCTAAAAGCTAACGAGACCATAAGTGACAAGATCGATTATTTTTATGTTGTTGTTATTAAAACCTTAAACGGTTGCCGTGGGGTTGGCATCAGATGAAAAGCCAAAAACAGTTGTTTACATTTTCCACTGCAAAAATTCCTGTTTAGGGAAAGATTTGACACCAAGAAAGCAGGACAAATGTTTTAGTGGGTTCTAGTCTTTATTTTGACAGGAGATAAAGAAGGAAACCCGGAGAAAGAGCGGGGATTGAGATGCAGGAAAGGAGCCACATTCCCCACTCTCTCCTGATTCGTATCAAATAAAGGCAAAAACCCCCCCCCAAAAAACAGCAAAGATGTATGATGTACTGTTTGGCCAAAGGGGGCGCCAAAAACAACAAAGAACAAAGTTCCTCAGCTTTAAGTATTTGGGTTCTTGCTACAAATTGTCAGATTTTAGTCACTCTTTTTTTTAAATGTTCGTAAAAACGCTCTCTTTAGGCGCCTGTAGCCTAGTCGTTATATCGCTGGCCCCATGTGCAGAGGCTCAGAGGCTGTAGTCCTCATCGCAGCAGCCGTGGGTTCAAATACGACCTTGGCCCTTTGCTGCCTGTCGTCCCCCACTCGCTTCTCCTTACATTTCCTGACTCTCTTCAGCTGCCAAAACAAATATCTTAAAACAAAACGCTCTCTTATATTAATTAAATATCATGTTTTATTTCTAATTGTTTTTTTTGTTTCAAATTTGCACAGTGCCAACAATATTTTTTTTAAGCGAGGAGAATTTCAAAGTTTGCAAAAGTGTCCAAAAAGCCATCGTTAAAACTTCTTCCCAGGGGGCTTAAGTGGTCTGTGCACGGAGGTGTAATTGTATGATAATGAGCATATGTGCTCCTAAACTGCCTCTAAATGTGCACACAGCAACAAAGGGAAGTCTGCCTTTTTCTCTTATTAAGAGGAAAACTAATGTTTGTAAATTGTTATATATTTTCAGACATACTTTGTACCAGTAGTGTAGTCGTGCTTTAAGAACTGTATACTCTTAATTTCCCCCCAAATCTTTTTTTTTTAAGTGTCCCGTCCAGCAGAGGATAAACAGCCTCTGTTATAAACAGCAACATGTAAGACTCCTCTTGCATATTAAGTTCTCTTAAAAAAGGAGCCTTTTGTATTTACACACTGACACTCATCGTCCGCTGCTTGACTTAAGGGAGGAGGGATTGTTATGAAATGAAAATGAGTTGCAGAAGAGGAGCGGATTTAGTAATTGTGACTGTCCGACAGGCTTCAGGCGGAGATAACCACATAGTGTAGGGATGCATTTTGAGGGGAACTATTCCTTATCTCTGTTGGGGGTAATGTGTTACAAAGCAATGCTCTGGTGTACTCTGATTACTTTTCTGTTTTTATCAAGTTGGAGGACATATTGGTTTTGCAATTCAAGTAGCAGGAAAATGTTCTCGTTGAGATACAAGATCTCTCTTTTCAAGAGAGTCCTGGCCAGTGATCAGTTATTCAGTTACTTTAAAATGTCATCCCTGTTCCTTTTGTTACCAAAAAAGAGGAAACCTGTGATGCAATGCTATGTTTGTGTCATTGTGCATTTATAGTTCAGGCTGAGCAATCGGGGGGGATTTAAACCCCATGCATGGAGACTGAAAAATAATTGGCTATACCTGCATATACGCTGCACTACCACTGCTTTGTACTTCATCTGACTTTCTCTTCTATTCTTCAGTCTTCAGCTGCAAACACAGACGGATTTCACACTCTTTTTTTTCTTTTGGTCTGACTACACCTAGTTTTAGACGGCAACATGTGGACAGAGAGAGCACGCAAGGCTTTCTGGACATCCTCCTGAACTTTTCACGTTTGCGACGGCATTCCTCCTCAGCTCTCAATTGGTCGATTGTTGCCGCTGCTGCCACGGCGCAGGAAAGGAAAGGAAGGGAGAATCGGCTGTTGCCTAGCAATCCGGTTGCCATAGATACCGCCGGGGCTCCCCTCCTAAAGAGTACACTGTTATGTACATTGAAAAGAGAGAGAGAGAGAGAGTACAGAGGGGAGGGAGGGAGGGAGGAAGAAGTATGGGGAGAATCAAGGTATGAGGAATGTGAGGAGAGAAGACGAAGAAGAATGACAGAAGTTGGAGTTAAGGAGTGTAGAGAAGGAGAAGATGGGGCACGGAGGGGTTCATTAAGAATAACATAAAGAACGGCAGGAGAGAGAGAGAGACAGACAAAGACAGAAGCAGAGCGAAAAGCAGAAGACGAAAAAAAAAAAAACCCTCTTCATGATTCATCATATAGATTCCCCAAGACAGTCGGAGTGGTGCAGGCTGGGTAATATCGGAGTCTGCTTCATTTGGTATTCTGTCTCAACATGCTGTTCTGTGGCTTGCTGGCTGCCTGTTTTGTGGTTTCTCAGTTGTCTTGGCTATGTTTGGATAAGCCTTCCACACTGCCACAACCCTCCCCACCAGCAAAACCACCCACTACCCACCCCCCCCATCCCATCTCAAATCCACCCTCACCCATCTATCTGTTTGCTTTTTGTCTGTTTTACTGCCTGTGACTGACTACTACTCTTACTGTATTGAAGCTAAGAGAGGAGGAAATAAATCCAGACAATGCAACAGTTTCTCCACAGTCTAACAATTCTGTTCTGTTTTGACTTAATGTGTAGTTAGCACAAGCAGCGATAGCCACCGTTAGTGAACACACAAAGGCAAAGTGCGCCAGAATTTTTTATTCAAATTGACCATTTCACTGAGGGAACAAAAAAACTCTCAAAAGCTGGGATGCTGATTTCTTCCTGTTAGTGTGAAGTTTTTGTTCTAGCCTGACTGGTCCAGTTTTTGACTTCTCCTCATGGCGGTGCACGGCTGACACACATTGGAGTGGACCTTGTGAGGTTGGGCACAATTCAAACAGGATTTCACAGTCACATTCCCAGCCGGCACTCTCCCTGGAACAAAATAGGATTAATAATTTGCATTTTAACTCTTCATTGACAGGGGAACAAGCCTCACTCGTGAAGTGGCTCTTTTTGAGTAAGTGTGCAAATATAAGTACATATGCACAGCGTAGCAGTACAGAGAGTGTGTGTGTGTGTGTGTGTGTGTGAGATTTCTTTTCATGCATGATTAATGGTAGTTACTTTGTGTGCGTGTGTGTGTGTGTTTGCGAGTGTGTATTCTGTTGGCATGTGTGTCTATGTGCACAAATGTGCACATCTGCAGACAGCAGTCTAACAGACTGTGCAAGTGTGTTTCTCTGTGTGTGTGTGTGTGTGCGTGCGCGTGTGCGTGTGTGTGTGCATCTCTGTTTCTGCAGGTCAGAGTGATTACAAAGCATCCATAGATCAAGTTTTATTATGCACCAAAACTGCCTCTGTCCTCTGCACTTTGCAATGTCATCTCTGCACTGCAAGCTCACATTGCACACACACACACTCACACAAGCATAAATACCGTACATGCATCCAGACCCACAATGCACTGGGAGTTACGCAACCTGCTGACTGGACATGAGTGAAAGTATTACTTGTGTGTGTTAATGTGTGTGTGTTAAGGATGAGGGGTGGGGTAGGTTTGGATGCTGCAGGGACAGAAAAGGAGCAGAAATGGGGGGAAAAAACGGAGGAAGAACAGAGCATGGCGGCGGTGCAGGCATCAGTGTGACAACAGATGGATTGCAGGAAAGAGTTCCAATTTCCTCTCTGAGAGTAAAGCACGGGGGGAGAGAGGAAAAAAAAAACGATAGCAAGACCAAATAAGGGAAGAGGGAAGCAAAAAAATGAAGCACAATGAAGCGCAGAGAAGAGATCGAATCAGAGGCAGAGAGAGTAGGAGCAATAATGAGAACGCATGAAAGTGCAAAGAGGAAGAGGAATGGGAGAAAGAGAGTGAGAGGAGGAAGATAGTGGGGGGGGAAGGACGCCAGTGACTTTTCATCTGTGACTGTCGCTTTCCATCTGACTGCATCTCTGCCTCCTTGTCTGCATAAAAAACCTGAAGATGTCTCCTTGAGCATTTGGGCTTTTTGTGTGTGTGTGTGTGTGTGTGTGTGTGTGTGTGTGTGTGTGTGTGTGTGTGTGTGTGTGTGTGTGTGTGTGTGTGTGTGTGTGTGTGTGTGTACATACAATATGTGTTTTTAATAGGTCTATTTGTTCATCCTATTGTTTCTTGTTAAGATATGTGACTTTAATTATGTGTCTTCTTGGATATGTGTGTGTGTGTGTGTGTGTGTGTGTGTGTGCTTAACGTGGGTTACAGGGACTCTCATTCATCACATTAAAGAGAGCAAGGGTGGGGGATGGGACTAAAACTGGACAGCCAAAGTTATTATGCAAAGGCTTGGTTGTAAATCTTTGAGTGTGTGTGTGTGTGTGTGTGTGTGTGTGTGTGTGTGTGTGTGTGTGTGTGTGTGCACGCTACTGTACGTGTGTGGCTCTGTGTGTGTGAAGCGTGTGCCCCCTTTGTGTTTGTGTGTGCATGCGCTACTCCTGAGAGGTTCTCCTCATTAAGCAGCGAGGCGACAGGAGTGCAGAGTGTGTGTTTTCACACACCGCTGCCCTGATACAACAGGAGCTACTTTTTGCAGCTCCCTTCCTTCTCTTCCTTTTGTGCTTCCTCCTCTTTCTCCTTTTCTTCTCTCCCTCCGTTTGCCTCATCCATCCTTAAAACCCTTCCTTCCTTCCTCCTTATTTTCTTACTTTTCCACATTCCTCCTCCTGCTGTCAACACCTGCTGTACAGGAGTGTCTGTTGCCTTCAGTAATTGTTAAAAAATTCATGCAACCACTCTCAAATGTTGTTTTTTAATTCCCATCACAACATTAGCCTTGATTTACCAATGTTTGCACTTTTGTAGCGATGGCAACAGGATGCACAATACGTCGGTTAAACATCAGTATCAGTAGACCGCTGTCAGTAACCGATATGTATTCGTTGTGTCAAATCAATTTGCAGCGGCAAACTAGTACACCTAACTACCGATTCAGAGAAGATACTTTTTATTTTGGGCAGAAGACGTCACCTGTTGGAGGATCTGCTTTTTTTTTTTTAATGGTGAAACATGAAAGAAAATGTTGGCAGTGATGGAGTCCGGACGCAGCATGCAGTTTGTAAGACATGTTCCAGGGACATTTCAAGAGGATTTAAATACATCAAATATCAAAGCTTATTTGGAAAACAGACACAAAGAAATACGAACAGTGATGACAAAATTGCTGGTATCTGAGTTATCAATCGACTTAATTGTGTCGGCCAAAATTTTCAGAATCTGTGCGACGCTACATCGAGCAAATTAAGGAAGAAAAAGAAGAAGTAAAGTCAAAGACAAAGTGAGGAGAGTCAACAGGTCAGCCTGTTTGTTTGTGTGTGTGGAGGCAGAGGTTATTCCCTCCAGAAAGACACACTAAGTTGATGAGGGCCTCCACTGCGACAGGCCACAGGATGGGATTATCGACCAGCCAGAGTCGGGTTGTTGTATTGATTCCAGGCCCTGAGTCTCAATCTGGAGGGGGGAGGAGGAGGAGGTAGAGAGGTTTGGGGAAAGACAAAAGGGGGAGATAGTTGGGACAAGAGACGGGGCACAGTGTCAGGATGAAGACGCAGACATCGGGTCACAATTTCTTATTATTTGTGCTGTGATATTAACGTCGATTGCAAGAAAGGTTCAAACCATTTTACTTTCATAATCTGCAGAACGCATCTGAAGAATTAAAACTATCGAAGGGTTGAGGTAACTTCACTCACTGATGCAGCCTGAATCTCCAAAAAAAAAAAAACACACCACAGCTTTAAACTAGATCAAAAAGTGTGATTTAATAGAGCAACGGGTGAGTTTGAGTTGAAAATATTATTCCCAGATTCTTAACATTTTCAGACAGAACAGAAGATGCAGAAGAGAATCCTTCCAGTAATTACGGCTAAATAAAACATTGGGTGACTGAAAAATGCTCTGCTACAACGGTGAAACGAGTCAGTGAAAGTACAAAGTGTTTAAAATCATGCAGCATCTCAACGATATTTCTTGAGGTTTTTTGGAGTCCATGAGTAAGACCTCGGTTCGGGAGGTTTAACCAGAAAGACGGCTGTGTTGAAAACGAATGACTGAAAACATGTTGATGAAACGTGTGTCGTTGTGTAATTTTGTACAGTCAAACTTTACATTTTAGGTTTCTTTGAATAAATTCTTCATAAAATCTCAGGATGCACAATCAAAAAGTAAAAATGTTCAAAATGTACAATTATTTAGCAAAATGTAAGAAAGGAGATTTCAGCTGGCAAACATTCATAGGAGAAAAAAAATAAACACACAAGGTAAAGAGGGAGCATGGAGGAGGAGAGGAGACAGAGTGAGGCATAGGGAGAGAGAAATTATAAGCAGGGAGGGAGAAAGAATTGGGAAGGGTAGGTGTCGGTGGAGGGGGAGCGAGAAGCGAGGAGCATTTGAGGATTCATCTCTTGCTGGATAATTCCCAGGAGGATCTCTCTCCAACACTTGAAAGCTGTGAAGTGTGCGGTTCTGCTCGTACTCCTCCTGGTAATTGGAAGGAGGAGAGGGGGGGGGGGGGGTCAGGTAGGGGAGGGAGATATGGAGGTAAGAAAAGAAAAGAAGAGGAAGAGAGAGGCTGGCTGAAGCAGGTAAAAAAATGTGAGGGACAGGCGGAGAGGTTAAACTAACGAGGAGCTTAGAAGGGAGTGAAAGAACCACCTGACTTGTGCCCGTCTCTTTCTTTTCTGCCAGGCTTATGTGTCTTTTATTTCTGCTCATTAGCTCACTCCTCTTTATGCACTCTGTCTCTCCCTCTATCGCCATCCTCTTCCCCTCCCACTCTCTCCTTTTGCCGGCGATGGCGTGTCTGTGGTTGCAGGCGGCCTCTGAAACATGGCCGCAGGCGTTTAATCATTGATGGAGTCGCTCCATGCAGGCAGGCCAGCGGGCAGCCCCGACTCGCTCACATGCATCAGAACCTGCTGATTCACTCTCTGGGGCCTCCAATCACGCACACAAACACACACACACACACACACACACACACACACACACACGTACACACATGCAGTCAGACACATACATGCAAACTCGAAAAAAAGAAGCAAACCGGGATGTAAACGCACGCACACACACACACACACACACACACACACACACACACACAACAGTATAGCACACAGATGCAGATCAAATGAAGCCTGAATGTGTGTGTGGCTATCCACATCATGTGTGCCTGTCTCGTTTATCCCACCAGGGACTGTGAGGCCCAATCAGCAGCAGCGAGATAAAAAAAAAAGCAGCGAAGATAAAAGCAATTTATTTGACCAGAAGAAGAAAAAGACAAAAAAAACGTGTTTGCGTTGGCTCCAGGCCTGCAAGCCACATATGTCTCTACAGATTTATACATCCTTCTGCTGGACTCTGTAAACATCTGTCTGTGTTGTTCCTATAAAGTAAATACACTTAGCCTACATACTGTACGCTCATCCCGTTTCACTCTGCTCTTGTTTTAGCTGCGCTGTGTCCCCACTCCCAGTTCATACAGTGCGGGCGTCTTCTCCTTCCTCAGTTTGCACACGAGGTTTAGTGTCTTCTCTTTAGAAAGCCAAGCAGTGTGGCTCTAGAGACGTTAAGCTTCTGTTTAGTCCAGGAAGGAAACACAACAAGTGCATGGACAAGGATTTTAAAGTGTTATTTATGAGGACAAGTCAAAAATTGAATATGTCCAGCACTCTCTGTTTGGTGACCGAATACTTCCCAAACTGATTCATTAAAACCTCAGCTGCACTTTCGCTAATATTAGCGAGCTAATTTTAGCACGCTCGGAAGCTTAACTCAGAGAATGGACATGATAATAAACATCATACTTAGTGCAATCAATCACGACTCTTTATATAAGACACTCAACAGTTTACAGTGAGTAGACTGTTGAGTGTAGCTGTTGTGACTATACAATGAAATAAGACAAAGCCACACACACTTTATTTTTTTTTTATTAACCTTTACTTAACCGGGAGAAAACTCTTGTTGAGATTAAAAATCTGGAGTGTCCTGGATGAGACGGGCAGCAAAGTTTCTGACAATCAACGAGCAGCCTTCCTCGTTGTCACTGCAACCCAAACAGTCACCTTTAAGACTCGCTGTGATTGGCTAGTTATGTGCAAAGAAAACCGAGACTGGTTGTTTTGATTCAGCCTGAATATTTTTATTAACTTAAAGGAAGAATGTGCAACTTCAGATGTCGCCCTTGAGCAGTAGCATGAAACAAAAACAAACTGCTGTTTGGCCACACCTCCATGATTCTGAAGCCTCCGCTCTCCTACAGCGACACACCTCCAACACCCCTCTCCACTCACATTTGCACAAAGGAGTTATCAAATTGGAACGCACCATAATTCAGTACTAAGCGCAAGCAGCGGACAAAATGATCCTTGTCTCGAGCTGCATTGTTGTGTTAGCGAGCTAATGTTAATGGTAACGGTGCTCTGATGTTGACATAGTTTGACCAATTAACATTTGTGTCCCACTTATTACTGCTCCTAGTAAGCAATACCTGTAATAATATTCTTCTTCTGACATGTTATGAATGCAATTTAATATCGTGAGCTGATTCAGCGATATGACCAGCCGCACTCAATGTCCTGTGCTTTTTAATAAAGGGGAAAACCAGGCCAGGGCATATCTACATAACCCTGATCAGCATGTAGACCTGAGTTTTATGAATATCACTGGCGTAAGAGATTATTATAAACTGTCAGACTGGAACCATCTGTGTTACTAAAATATTAAATATGTGAATTTCAGATCCTTGAGAATATTCAACCCATTCACTTTAGATTATGCACCTTTTTATACCTTACATCTGCAGCACTGGGATCCTGTGCACACCCTGCTAATGACTATATGTTTAGTAAGTTTAATTATTTTTGTTGATTGTTGATGACAAACAGTCATAGTCATAGAAGCGAGGCACTATGCAGTCACATCCTCACAGTGCATGGCAGCCTCTTTGCTCAGCGCGCTCCTGTTGAATTCTGCAGGAGCAGGTACAGCTTATCAATTCCCTCCCCTCCCCTCCCCTGTTGTCTGTCTGTCTGTCTGTCTGTCTGTCTCACCTCCTGATCAGAGACTTTCTTTTATTATTTTATTTCTCAGCGGATTAAAGCCAGACCCTGTGGAGCAGAAACCCAATCTCTCTCACTCCTCCTTTCCTTCTCCACCTTTTTTCCATCAAATTCTCCCCCCCGCCCCCCTTCTTACAACCAAACCAGACTCCACCCTGAAATGGATGGATTAATGACCTCTCTCTGTCTCTTGCACACAGTATCACCTGCAGCGCTGTCTGCCTGCCTGCATGCCGGTGTGTGTGTGTGTGTGTGTGTGTGTGTGTGTGTGTCATTGTCTTTTGTCTTTCTGCAGGACGTTTGGCATTCTGTGCTTGTTTGTGTCTTTGTGTGAGTGTGTACCTGTGCAGTCCACTCTGTTGTATTTGCTGATGCTTCTGTCCTGCATGGTGAGTCATAGTGGTGGACCGGTCCAGGGCGATGAATCTTAGAGAAGTACATACAAAATAGTCTGCAGTGGTTATGTGATTGCTTCCATTAAAGTGATTATGCAATCAACAGCAGTAAGTCATACAGGCAGACAGGCGGGCAGAGAGACACAGACAGTCAAACAGAAAGATGGGAGGAGGAAGGGGTAGATGTGGAAACATACACACACATATTCACACAGGGCTTAGGCAGGCAGGGGGAATTTCTCTCTTGTTAATAATCATTATGAAACGACTTCACGTGGAGCACTTGCCTCTCTGCGCTCAGCATGATGGCAGGTCTCTCCCAGCAACCTCCCCATGCTCGCACACCTACTTATACCTCTTCCATCTTTCTTAAATTCCTCCTCTTCTTCCACCTCCTCCTCTCCTGGCAATATTTACCCGGACTCCCAGAGGTTTTCCCTCTCTGTACCCCCCACCCCTACCCCCCCCTGCATTCTACCGTGGTGAGCTGGGGTTTGGTGAGTCCCAGGCTCCAGCGCAGGCCTGCTCTGGTGCTTGTTTTTACAAAAGCAAACAGATGGAGAAGGAGTGAGAGATATGCAGAGCGTTGAGCCAAGCTGGGATGATGCAGAATTTGGCGACAGGGATTTTGTTACAAACTTCCTTTTTGTTTTACAGCATAGTGTTTTAGGTCTAATCATTGTCTCTCAGTACAAAACTCTGTGTAACACTGTGGATCCTTCTCTCACAGTTTGTTTGCCTCCACATAGAGCTCCTTCATTTCAGAGCAGCTTTTACAACATTTACACGTAAAGAAACAACATATTTACCGGTGTGTATGAAGTTTATGACTCTGCAGTTGTTTGAATCTGGTCAGTCTAAATGCATCAATGGCTTCTGCAGGATAGGAAAATATAAAAGGATGCAATTTGTCAGCATCTAAAAAGATTTGCAATCATTCAAAAATATGTGTTTTTGTTGCAGATGAGTAGCATTGCTTTGTTAGACATTAATATCTAACAGTAGAAAGCCACTGATTTGTGTGACTATATGGTGATTTCACACATGCAAAAAGATTCTGAAAACTTCCTGAAATTTTTTGGCGGGAGCTGCAGGTGTGAACACAGACACTTTTTTTCACTCCTCGACTTTACCAGCAATTTCTCCTTCCGTCTCCCTATTAAACTTTTCGCGTGAATTAGGGGTGAGCCAATGTGAGAACCAAGCAGGAAATATTAAGGAAAATACACCACCTGCGAGTAGCGGGGTGGGGGTTTGGGTGTGGAGACATTAATATCCTGCGACTGGTGCACAACCATAGACTGTCTGTGTTCCTTCAGAATGATCTCTGTGAACATAATGAAAGTGCTTCAGTATGTTTTCTTTTCACCAGTATGTTCTTCTCCGCTCTTTTGTTGATACCGTGAACTACACCGAGCTGCACGCTTAAATTCTTGGATATGAATGCAAAACTCATCATCATAGCGTATTACTCTGTTGCTTCTTCAGCCACTTGCACAATTATTTTTTACGTCATGTTCTCATCCTCCTGAGACCCCCAACCCCCCATCCTGTCCTACAGGGATAGCCTCCCACTATGAGTTACATGTATGAACAGGAAGATTTAAGGGACAGCCTTAAATATGCAGAGTGCATATGAGCCACATCACTCTGGGCTGGCATGTTCAGTTTAGACACCAAAAATACCAAACCCACAAAACACCACAAAGCTTCTTGATGAGGAAAGAGAAAATGTGACGTTTTATCTTTGGGGACACTTTTTTAAAGAAGCAAAAATATGTAACTCTGACACCTAGTGTTTAAAATGGGTACTGCAGTCCCAATTCAAAACATTGTAGAGAGCTGTCTCCCCCCTCCTCTCTGGAGTCGATGCTCACGCAGGTTGCCATGTGGTGGACACTGAAGCTTCAGTGTTTATCCAGCTCTGCATCAGTCTGTAAACCTTTCTGTGTTCTAACCTCTCTCCATTTTTCAAAAGCATCTCCAATATTGATCCTAGTTTGAGCACGTTTCTGCTCGTGGAGCTTATTAGAAACATGCAGAGGCTTTTTAGGTCGGGTACAATCACTTCTATCTGAACCACTTCTCTTGCCCGCTTCCCTCGCTGCAACACCTGTTGGTTTGACCTGATAACTGCTCTCATATCTGGAAAACAGAGGGGTGTCCAAAACGGCCGTGTGGGGGTGCCTTAAAAGCGCCTACCTTCTCTGGTCCAAACAAATCCAGAGCATTCAGGACCAGAATCTAAAGTTAGAAGGAGGACATACTGGCTGCTGCATTGTTGTCAGAGAAGCCAGCACTTCAACATAGCATGTTTCCTTAATGTCTGATCATATAGTAAAGTACCTTTATCATATAAATCAATAGATGTCTTACTGATTGGTCCTTTAATTATATCAGTTTGAAAAAAAAAAAAACTGCTTATGCAATTAAAACCTCCAACAAGAGTATCTGTCAAGGTCTGTTGGCTCAAGCCCCCTTTGAGGTTTGTCTGTGCACATAGCTTTTCTTTTCCCAGTCCCACTTTTCCTTACCTAAATCTTTTTTTTCACTTTCTCTCTTCCAGCCAAGAAAGCAGCAGACGGCTCAGTGATCGCCAACGGCTACTGTGACTTCTGCCTCGGGGGCTCAAAGAAGACCGGCTGTCCTGAAGACCTAATCTCCTGTGCGGACTGTGGACGCTCAGGTAGGGCACCGCTGAAGGGGATGATTGGCAGGAGGAAGGCGGTCCTCTGTTGAAAGACAGTTTTTTATTGCGATGTTTCAACTGTTGAGCCCAGACTGTCTTACTAACTATAAAAAGAAATGCAAGTTATGATCCCTGTTATACTTAAAATAAATGGACCATACCAATGTTTTGTTCTTGTTGCCCATCGAATACAAATCATGTACAGAATCTTAACCTCATTAAAAGCCCGATGTTTCATGTTTTTCTTTTTGTTTTTACAGTTTTAAAGGCAGGGTTGGTAATTTCCTCCAGATCCACTTTTAAAGATTTTGGTCTTTAGGTCCTGACAGAAATTAACGATCGACAGAGCACTGAGGGAATGCTATGTTCAAAATCATGCTAGTTTTTAAAAAATGACCAACCCTGCCTTTAAAGTTAATCTTACTGTTTGGAAAAGAGTCATAATAGTTTGCAGAGAATTATATATACTAATACAGGTTGCTTAACTATGGTGGCCCTTAAGGACAAATCCCCTACAGTGAAAGCGTTCATATTTCAGAATCAACTAGAACATGGGACGGGAGTAGCTTTATAATGCTACTCACCATCATTAAAAAAAATTAGATTTAACTGTGACATTTGAATTGAGAAATTGGATACCCACTTTAAGACTAATTGTCCTTAAAGGCCACCGTACAAAAACAAAACAATTAAATTGACTCCCTTAAATCCTGTCAAGTTTGTGGAGTCGTTGTTAATTAAGGTTAATTGGAAAAATGTGAACTTCATTACGATTTAATACGAAAACATCCATAAACGACACTGTAATCGTTAATTCTCCTTCTGTATAACAGGAATATTAATGCTTTTTATATTCTATGTACAATATTATAAAGTTCTCATGAATGATAGTTTGATTAATCCTGGGAAAATGTTTGAAAAAAAAATTATGGGATTTCTTTAAAGATGTGCAAAATAGAAGCAGAGTGGGATTCAAGGTGCATGAAGAGCAAAAGGCTTGAAGAGGTCAAAAAGCTCCGGCAAGACTTTGGAGTATGAAGAACAACTTCATTAACAAAATAGACTGACGCGTTACGGCTTGTGGCCTTCACAGGGGTCATTCAGGTCATGATGAGGACCCTGAAGGTGGCCTTCACAGGGGTCATTCAGGTCATGATGAGGACCCTGATGGTGGCCTTCACAGGGGTCATTCGGGTCATGATGAGGACCCTGATGGTGGCCTTCACAGGGGTCATTCAGGTCATGATGAGGACCCTGATGGTGGCCTTCACAGGGGTCATTCAGGTCATGATGAGGACCCTGATGGTGGCCTTCACAGGGGTCATTCAGGTCATGATGAGGACCCTGATGGTGGCCTTCACAGGGGTCATTCAGGTCATGATGAGGACCCTGATGGTGGCCTTCACAGGGGTCATTCAGGTCATGATGAGGACCCTGATCGTGGCCTTCACAGGGGTCATCGTCACTGGAGCTCTTTGACCTCTTCAAGAACATCAGAGAAATGAGATAAATCAGGGAATGTTCTAAACATGTGATTGACTGGTGAACAGTCGAGGGTGTAACCCCGCCTCTCGCCCGATGACAGCTGGAATCAGCTCCAGCGACCCCTAATGGGAAAAGCGGTATAGATATTGGATGGATGGATGGATGGAATAATAAGTGTGAAGATGCTCTGTGGTACAGAGCTGACATGCCTTGTGGAAAATTAACTCTCATGCTCAATTTGTAACTAATTTACTAACCACAATGTTTTCAACAAACTCTTCATTTAAATAAGAGTCAATAAAATGTAATGTTGCTGTGACTTTCTTGTCCTCCCCAAAATGGGATGAGGGAGCGGAGGTATGATGAGTTAAAGTGCCACGGGTTGGAGAGAGAGACCCTGCTGGAGGATGATAACGTACAACATAAACGCTAGGCCTTCCAGCACCCTATCCTGCAAACTTTTCAATCCTGGCTTACTATACAATATTCTTTACAATTGTGATGCTTTAAGTCATTGTCTTTTTCTACACTTGAACTAATGTCCAAACCAGACTGTAGATGATTTGTGAGAGTATGGTATCATTCAAATTTCAGCCGTGTTATAACTTTTCAGTATGGTTGTATTTTCTTTCTCCTTTCTTTGGTATGAAATGTGTTTGTGTATTCTGGCTATATGCAGAGATTGCAATATACATGGTGCAGACTTTGTGTACTTACTACTTGATTGCATGTGTACTGTAAACATTTTTCTTCCATCTGAAAAAAATAAAAATGAACAGAACTTTAAACAAAAAGACAAACGTGAATTGTAGTGAATGGGCTGCAGCATGCAAAACTCTGGTATGGTCCTCGTCTGCTTTATAACCACCCACAGAGAAGACAAATGAAGGTCAGGAAATAAGAATGACATAACAATATCTCTCTTGTCGTGATCATGTAACAGCGAGTAGCAGGAATGGGTTTAATAATAGGATAGGAAGAGAGAGAAAGAGAAGTGGACTGCAGAGGAAGAGGCCAATTTGTTTAGAATTTCATTACACTTTTGTTGTTTGCTTTAAAGAGTGAAGCATACTGTACATTTCTCCCGAGACAAACGAGTTAAAAATGTATTTTTAGATATATTTCAGCAACGTTTACATCTTTTGAATCTCAGCCACAAGACATCACAATCTAACGCTGAAAGAAATATAAATAAATCACTTAAAGGAAGCAAACAAACCGAGAGCAGAAGAGTCTAGTAGATGAGGGATGTCTGTCCTCAAAATGCAGGAAGCTATGGTTAAAAAAAAAATGTTGTGTGGGTGTGTGTTGTGTGTGTGTGTGTGTGTGTGTGTGTGTGTGTGTTTATGTGTGTGTGTGCATCCAGGCCACCCGTCCTGTCTGCAGTTCACAGTGAACATGACGGCTGCGGTGAGGACTTATCGCTGGCAGTGCATCGAGTGCAAGTCCTGCAGTCTGTGTGGCACCTCTGAGAACGACGTACGATCACACTTCATACTACATGTTAGCTCTAGACACATGTGGCTGCACACATACACACACGTCCATGTTTTATACAGTCTAGGGGGTGAAACTTTAATTTTAATTTTATACAACCAAGGCTTATCTGGCCAAGAGGGCAGTATAAGTATAATAAACACAAAATAATTAGGAACGATGGCAGTTTCCATAATCAAAAAGCAATCTCTTCATCACTTGTGATCTGTAAAGAGGCTGAGCTGAGGCGGGCGTTGAGCCTCCTAGCAAGTCAACTCAGCCACACCCCTAACCATTTAAATGTATGCATAACTCTTAACCTCTAATGTTGTTAAAACAGCTGCGTAATTTAGAAATTCCCCACTGTACTGTTTCCACCAATGAAGAAAGAAGCTAAAGTTAGCAAACTGTGAACCAGGCTGTAAACATTTTTAAATTTGGGGTATCATATGGATTCCTTGAGTTTTGCAGCCAGCCTCAAGTCGAAACTATTAACTGCCAGATTCCACATATTTCGTGCGAGCTGCAGTCCGCCCGTCTGCCACTCTAGTCAATGCTCCAGGAAGTCAGCGTGTACAGCTGCTCTAGAAATGGTACCAGTGGGGCAGGGCGTGTGCCGTCTGACGGAGCTAAACCACAGCACTGACGGAACGTAGCCCGCACGGACTGTGTGGAAATTGACAGTTATTAGGCTGCAGCATTTAGCGCGTCTTCATTGGCTTAATTTTCCAACAGGCTGCAAAATGAAATCAGATTCTATGAAATTAGATGGAAAATTTGCTTATACTTCAGAGCAGAACTAAAAACCTCAGTGAACAGTTCCCTGATGAGCTTGTGGTCTCAATTGCTCGTTCAAGTCTTTCTCAATTGAACATTTTGTAAACAATGGTGCAACCTTCGTTAAAACTGTGGATAAAGCAGGTTGTGCTTGAGAGCGTGGCTACCTGTGATTGAGAGATTGCTGCCATGGCTACCTGTCGACCTGCACAGATACAGAGCAACGTGTTTAGCATGTCGTCAATATGGTGCCCAAGAAGATGATGACGGCAAAAAGCTGAACTCAAGGCTTTAAAAGAGACTTTCACAAACCAAAAGGGGGGTGTTATGGTGACCACTCTACAATGATCTACCACAAACTGAGGCGCATGCTAAAGACAGAAACAGAGAGCAGGTTTTCATGGAGTCCTCACTTTAAATAACAAAGGCCATGCATCACACATCAACCCTTAAAGAGAATCCACATCTTTACACATTCAACATTCTGGATTGTGTCAATATAAAGCTTTGATTTTCAAACATTTCCCCGACTCGATAACAAGCACCGACTAACTCTCCCCCTCTGTTCCAGGACCAGCTGCTGTTCTGTGACGACTGTGACCGAGGCTACCACATGTACTGTCTGAGCCCTCCCATGTCTGAACCACCCGAGGGTACGTATAGCGCTCGACTCTTCGTCTGTGTAGGTTCCCAGTCATCCAGGCCATGGTGCAGTCGAAGCTTCATCCAAAAGCAACTGGACTTGGTTGAAGATCTTGAAGAGATCTCTATAAGTACATGCAGTATTATTAAAAGATACAGTGTACCGGCCATTTGTTCAAAGGCGTTCATATCAAGAAATTCATTGACGTCACACACTTATAGAACCACCCAGAAAGGCTTCCTACTGCTGCACACTACAGAGAAGTTATCTGCCTCTGTTGCCACCTACTAAACTAGTTTATTTGATGTTTTTTTTAATGAAAGACAGTTGTTGTTGTTGACTGTGACGCAATGACCTTAAGACGCGTAGAAAACACAAAAAACGGTCCGTACTTTTGTGAGACTCTTATCCTACAGCGGGGAAGGAATCTCCACTTAGTATCTGAGACATGTCTAATCCTGTACAGCACTTTGGTGCCCATAGCCTAGCGTTATGTCGCACACCCCGTGTACAGAGGCAATAGTCCTCGCCGCAGCGGCCGTGGATTACAAGCCGACATCGGCCCTCACTCTCTCCCCCCAACACTTCCTGTCTCTCTTCAGCTGTCTTAGAGGCAAAATGGCCAAAAAGTATTTTTAAAAACCCCACAACTAATAGTTTCC